ACCGGAATCACCGATCATGAAAAAAGGCCTCGCTCTCGCTCGAACGAATCTGTTTAAAAATAGAGCTCAATATGCAGATTGTGAAACAATGATTCATTCCTCCATCTCCGTGTGTATTTTATTCATTTATCTTAGACATGTGTTGTTAATTTATTTCAACATTTTAAAATATATTTAAGTAGGCTATTTTGAAATAGAGCACAAACCCATTTCTCCCTGGCGCTAATTAGTAAATGACATATTTGTTTATGGTTGTTTTTAAATTAAAAAAATCTTCCTACACAGTTTCAGATTTCTCTGTCAGGAGAAGCTCTGAGCTTATTCTTAATCAGGAAACATTTCAGCTCCGGCGTTTTAATACGAACCAGCTGACATTATTTTATTACTTAATGTTCGTCGGGTCGCATTTATTCTAAAGCAGCAGAATAATCTTTTGTGTGTTTTGCAGATGTGTTGACAGCGCGGAGGAATTGAATTAGCAGCTGCAGCGGAGGGAACATTGGATCATATTAGGAGCGCGGCGGAGGCTTCACCTGCAGGCCTGCAGCCAGAGAGAGAGGAGGAAGAGGAGCACACACACACACACACACACACACACACACACACACACACACACACACACACACACACACACACACACACACACAAATCCCATTAAAAACTGTTACGTAAAGAAAATATCCTCATCTTTTCATCAAGACCAGAACGTAAAAAAATATCTTTGTTCAACAGTTGCTTTAAACAAACACATTTTACAGTGTTGTACAGTTCAAACAGCAGAATGGTAAGTTTAACAACTGTACATAAAAACCCCAATTTATTTCAGAAATTCACCTTAAACAAAAATAAAGATTCAACAAGTCCCAAATTCAGTCCCAATTAAGGCCGAATCGAACATTAGATAAAGTTTAAATATTTGATTTTAATCGCTGTAAAATCTCGTTGTATTACATTATATGAGTGATATAATGCTGATCTAAGCCATGATTAATGGTGATTTATTGCATGATTGAAAGCATGATGCATCAAGATCTTGATGCTCACAAATTACAGACCGATCAAGTCACTGTGACTTTATGAGTTTAGGCCTTTAATATGAGATCAGATTTTTTGTTCAAACATTTATTAATCTCTCTATAAGCAGAACAGTTTACAGCTTGATCTTGAATCATATAGTTCAGATACAAACATTTTAAAAGACACATGAAACAGTTTTATAATATTTGATGTAAAATCAATTCAGGAATAACATTCCTTCATTTTTAGTCTGTAAAATAATCACATAATGACAATTATTAACGGTGAGCCGCAGGCAGTTATGATAAATCATGCTTTTATTAGCAGCATCAAATCGATCTTTTTTTATAAAATCCTTGTAAAAAGTGTCATAACATGCAGGAAAGGAAGGTCTCATAAGGATTGAGTTAAATATAGAGATGATGGGGCCTTTTGCAATCCAAATAATTTATATCTCCCCTTCAAACAGCTTTTATAAATCATCTATCAGAATATGTTGTAAGAATTGATATGCGTTTATTATAGCCTTAAAATGTAGTCAAATGACTGTGTACAGGAAGATTGAACGTAAACCCTGAAACCTCTCTGAGATCACACACTAATGCCTGTGGAAGATTAATAATGTGGATGAAACTGAAGCATGAAACACATCTTTTCATGTTTCCTATTCACATTTAATCTCCATCAGACCTCACAGCAGCAAACTGACACTCAAATCGGCCTGATCAAGACACCTTCCTCACACTGCGCAGGCCCGGAAACAATGATGGAGAAATTTAGAGGCAACAAAAGTGTGTCTGTAGTCCAAAGAGCCCCGAGGGGCCACGCAGCGGCCTGCAGGAGGTGTGCAAAAAATATGCAAACCTTAGATATCAGCTTTCTTTGATAGAAATAATCAGGATTACACAGTGAAGTATCTTTGCAAGAAAACAATAATTAGAAATCAAATCAAATACAGTTATTGATGTATTTATTATGTAATGCTTGTTTTAGTAAATCATGGATAAAAACAGCCCTGGGCCTTGTGTCAGCGTGCTCAGCAGCTGACACAAGGCAGCTGACACGTTATGCCTCTCTGAACCAGCTGTCATTACTTCCAATGATGTCGTTCTCTCAGGTGATCAAAGGTTGATCATAATTATTACATCATTTACTATTCATTATTTCTCACTAAATAAAACCAGACACATTCTACTTTCTGACAGCTGACCACACCACTTCCTTTGACGTGCACATACATATAAATTTCCAAAATAAAATCTAAATATTTTCAGCCCCCTGAGTCTGGTCGAATGAAGCTGAGGTCCTGGTTGTGCAAACAGAAACCCTGCCCCCTCTTTGTTTCTTAGCCCTCTTTGTCTTCACAGGTCACACTGGGTGCTGTTTAAGGATTTCGTGTGAAGATGGTCAAACATGCAGGAATCATTCAAGGTAAGGAGACTGTGCTGTGCAACAGTTTAAATAATAGTGTATCTGTGAAGTGTCAGGCCCATGCACTCTGGTGTTTTATTTTCATGTTTTGGATTTTTTTTTCAACCAGTGTGACAGATTAGGGAAGGCTAACTTCCAAAACTATTCTTAACAACCATTTAACAACTCCACAAAATTATCAGCACACGGTAAAACACCCTTTAAATACATTCGTGATGTAGCTAAATCCATCTCTGATCAATTTAAATAAAATTCTCAATCCAATGCATATGTCCTCCTTGTTTTTTTTTCTGCTCTCGTGTTTGTTTGTGTTTTCTTTCTCTTTTCTCAATTCTCTTTGTTTAAACATTTTTAATGAGTAAATATTTGTGCATACCTACATCTGTAAGCCATTACACTTATGAAGTGTCAACTCAAACAACCAAGTGATGTTTCCATGTGAAGCAATCCAATACACACAGCTAAACATTAAAGGGTATGGCTACATTACATATGAACTTAACATGAGGATTTTTTTACTTAGTGCTGTGCTCATGAAGGATTAATGTTGGCTCTTTGTAACATAGCAATGAGTAAGGTCTTTGTAAAGTGTCCTGAGATAACACCTGCTATAGAAATAATGATTGATTGATTATTGATTTTGAAAGAGCATGGTTTCTGATACATTCCCTCTAGCATGATGCTAATGGTTAAAGCTAAACAGTGTTGACACCTGAAAAACCAAACATAGCAAGTTGCTCCTGAAGCGGGACAATTTCAATTCAATTCAAATATTCTCTCAGGAGGATGGATAGTAGATTTCTCTTTCTGCTGGTTGTGATTAAGAAAAAAATCCATCAGGGGCTCTGACATTTTTTTCTATGTATTAAAACTATGTCTGGTGGCAAAGCTGCAAAGCTGTGCATAAATGAACCCGACCCCTCTGGCTGCACATTGAGGTGATGATAAATGAACACACTGATGAGTCTAACTGAAATGAGCCTCCCCGCCTTACAGCAGACTGAGATGATGCGGACCTGCAGAAGATAAACTATCAACATGGAGCCTATAGTCTGCTTAAAAACAATGAAACCCAGTTTTCATGCACAACAGTGCAGTTTAAATACTAAAGTGAAGTTTATTAGTGAGGTGTGCCGACAGTACTCCCTCAACATAGTGTATGCTAATCTGCTAGCATAACAGTATGCAGAACATGTTAGCATGTTTTGTTCAAGGTTTGAGATGTTTCCAATTAAAAAGTCCAACATCTGAGTCATTTCTGCTAGAGCTAACCAGGCTAATGCTAATGTTCCTGTTCTGTAGTGAAGCCATGCTTTATTCAGCAGGTTAGCTGTCACACATGTTGATTATTTAATTCAGTATCAACAGTTTGAATTAGCTCTAAATTGACTAAGAGTTAGCTCAGCAGGTTTCTCTGGCTGACAGTTCAACTGTATGATTAGTTGCATCAGGACGAGTCTTTAAGAGAGCCTGCTGGATTCTTTATATTTACAGTCTATGACTGGATTACACGTCTGATAAAACACTCATCTGTTCTCAGGTTTGTCCACATTTAGCAGGACGGCTTTCTCTGTTTGTTACATTTAAACATGTATAAAATTCACTTCAAGGCTGCCATGATTTTGAGTGTGTTTGTTAAATTATAACCATATTGTTAAAAATTACATTTTTTTTTTTAAGAGTTCAATGATAAGATTTCCCCCACATCAGAGATAGAAAGATAAATAGGAACTTTATTGATCCCGAGGGAAATTCAAATTACATTAGAACTTAACATGATGCAAATGTATTAATATGAAACACAGTGAAACGTCTGTCTTCACATCTTGGGATGAAATAAAGAGTTTCATGTAAATGCTGTACATTCAGTTTTGACTTTGTTGCAGAACTGGATGAAGTGGCTTCGACACAATCTGCCAGCTGGAGCTGATTTCTCCTTTATTTTTATGAAAGGAGTGCTTGCATATAAACCTAAATAAACACATTTTGTAACGGATCTGTTTTTATGTACTTGTTCTGTTGTCCTACAATGATGAACAGATTTGAGTTTTGAATATAAATGCAAACATACTGTTTGTAATTCTCAAACTTTTACAAGCTTTTGAAGTTGTAATAAGTTATTGATTTAATTGTGTTCAGTTTGGAAAAGTTCCTGAGCCCTCTCTTTTCGGTTCACTTTACGACTAGAAGCTTATGAACCTATCAATGAGATGAAATAAAGCATACGAAGAGTAATCCAGCGCTAATCTAATAGAATCTGAAGGAGTTCAAACGGGGCCCTTTGAGAAAGAGAGAGTTCTGGACCCTGAAGTTTTGTGCTGATTAGCAGAGAAACAAACATGCCCTCTCGCTCCTCCACTCCCTCCAGAACAAAGAGCCAGAGTCACCCATAAAAAGTCCCTTTAACAACACTTTACTGCCTGTTAAAAAATATGGTACTAATTACCAGAGGGACTATGTGCTGATGGTCACCACCGCGGTTGAAATCTGAACGGCACAATTAGGGGCAATCACAGAGCGAGAGAGAAAGAGAGAGAGAAAAGATGCACAGCTTCCTTTTTCTTTCGTTTTTATTATGTTCTTTTCTTTGCATGAATGCTGCAAAAACAAGTCAGTATTTCACTAATCAACAACAAGCGTTTGCTCTCATTTCAAACTAGAATCAGTGACCGAGTAACAACAGGCCTTCATGACATGCAGCCAGCTCCACAACACTCACACATGGGATTGTACACTGTGTTTATCTTTACAGGGGAATTCAAGTGTTGTCAACCTGGGGCTTTTTAAAACAGATTTAAGGGTCTAAATTAATAACAAATATCTTTACGTTGCTCCTGTAGGTTGCTCTATCTTCTGGATGTGTTCTCTTTCAGAACAAATGTACCTGATCAGAGTGAGTCCGATTGAAAAATCTAGTTTTCTTTTTCCACTAGTGGACTCAGATTGTCACTCAAAGTGTCTGACAACTTTACAGAAAGATTCCCTACAGAGAGAGACCTTTGTGTGAGAGCCGTTCATCACTCTCTGATTCAAACTACCAGACTCCATTAAAGAATCAGGCCCTTTAACTTGCAGAATTAAAGAAGTGGCTGATGTTTTAAAAAAAAGTACAGGATCTTTACCAAACATTTAAAACACTGAAGTCAAGTCACACGATCAGACAAACAAACTGGCAATTGAAGGCCGAGGTATACAAACAAGGTCCTCGCTCTTTCAGGTCAAATCAATGTTTTTGTGAATGGAGTCTGGCTTTGAATAGAGTAACAAAAAGGTTTCATCTCTTTATTATCAACTTGACCTTAGCAGAACATGGGAGCTGCAGGTCCACCCCTGAATCGGCTTGTTGGGTATATTTACTGTGATGTGACTCAGGGCTTTTTAAAGTGTTATCTTCAACTTACAGATAGAGGCAGCAGTAGATCAGCGCCTTCCATGTTCTGAGAGGTAAAATGACTGTTTTTATCAATGGAGTCGGGTGGCTTTGAGGAGAGTGATGCAACAGATGTTTGTGGTTTAAAAACATCATCTTTGTCCTTTAATGAAAACAGGTTCTCTCTCTGCAGGGATCCTGTTTGTTATGTTGTCTGACACATAAAAGAACAATCTGAGTCAGTCAGTGATAAAGAGTAAAAACTGTCAGGGGACCTACAGTAAGTTGATCAGGTCCACTTGTTGCGGCGAATACATCGCAGCTATCACGGCCTGTTTTGAGGCCGCCAGCTGACGCAATTCACTGGACAACATTTTCTGCATACATTAGTCATTAAGATAAGATGCAGACATTCTGTAAAAAAGACGACCCAGGTTTGAGAAACACCTGATTTCTCCTTTGTTGTTTTTTTCTGAGGTGACTCTGTAAATAGTGCATTTAAGATTTCACCAAGTCAAACAAGTGTGTGAATAAAAGGATTTCTGATTATCAAAGTCAATTTTTGTTATGGGAAAAGCTAGAACATTTAAGCAAAATACATTTTTTTATTTTAGAGGCAGCTAAAAGATTTTGGTCAAAAGTTGCTACCGTACAAAAAACGGCATGTAGTCCATTACTCCCCTCAATTCAAATGGACTCTGCAAGGCCGAGGTTTTGGGGTTCAAAATAATCCACATGACATTTCTCAATCACAGCGTAAACATCAAAATTATCGTAGCAACCTACATATAGTGTCATGTCATTACTGCATCTTTTAGACAAAAGCAAATGCATGAGAATCAAAGGCAGAACAGGACCAAAATTAATGAAAAACATTGAGCAAGCAGCAACACACTCACACACACACACACACACATGGTTGCTACACGTCACTGACTGGAATAAACATTTCTCCTCCGTCTGCGCTCCCTTTCTTACGGCTCATTCAGACAATAGGCACACCGTAAAACTTCAAACACACAGAAAAAGAATGATGGCGGGCGGAGGACACGGCAGACTGAGCTGCAGGAGAGGAGAGGAGAGGACGGCTGGTCTCTGAAAACAACAAGGAAGGTAACAGGCAGAGTGATTCTGGTCCGTAATTGAAGATCTGTTATTGACAATAATGGAATTTCCCCGGTGACTGCAGCTGTATGAAAATACTCTGTGTGGAAACTGCAAATTTGGTTAATTGTTCAGCGACAGTTAAAAAACCTGAAGTGAAATTAGTTGTACAGTGTTTTTTACAGTGATTTGCTGAGGTGTTTTCATCCAGACATGAAAGCAATTCAAGTTTTAAAACTAAATGATATATATTTTTTTGAATCTCTAAAATGGTCAAAATATTTGGAACTCTCCACAGACTTAATCCGACTTTCCAGACTTAAGTAATAAAATACTGATTCTGTTTGTGATCACACTGAGCTGTGAGAGAGAACAGAAATCCTAGACACAGTTTGGGTTCAATGTAACACATCAGAGAGTCAGATTTGTCGGGAGAGGAGGGGAGGGGAGGGGAGGGGAGGGAGGCAGAGGTGGGTCAGGAGGGCCGGGTGTTGGTGGATGTTTCTGGAACAGAGGTGGGTCTCCTCAGGGGAAGTTGGTGGGGAAGAGGCTGAGCGGCTGGCCCTCATTGGTGGGCAGAGGGGAGCGGTAGCCCTCGAAGTTTCTCGGGATGCTGCCGCTGGTGGAACCCGAGCTGTTGCTGAGGGTCTCGATGCTGCCCTCCCTCTGCAGCTCTGCAAGGGGAGAGAGAGAGAGAGAGAGAGAGAGAGAGAGAGAGAGAGAGAGAGAGAGAGAGAGAGAGAGAGAGAGAATTAGTCTTCTTAAGTTCGTATTAAAGATTTGTATCGAGCCTTCACACTTTAAATCAAATAAAATGTATTCATATTATTAATCATTTTAAATCTGCAGTTTGGTCAGAACACCACAGGAGGTCTTTCTCTACCTGTAGCCATCAAACAATAACACCTTCACTTTCTGCAGCAGGAAAAACTGAGTATATAAGAGCAGTACTGTTTTCATATCATATGCAATCATTTTCACAACTTGTGTATAATATACACTACAGTATCTTTATTCTGGGCTGTATTGTGCCCATTATTATGTGCAATGATTACTCTCATATTTTGTGCAATATTGGATTTAATTTCACGTGTAAAAATACTTTTTACAATTAAAATATAGTGTGAAGACTAACTTTCACCATTGGGCTTTATTGTGATTATTATCATGTGCAATCATCATCATCACCTTTCTTTATGACCTTTAGGGTTTTTCATTGTGGTCACTACATGAAGCTAACATAAAGAGAGTCTGAGTCTGTGTCTGAACTGTCAATAATCCCATCACTGTGCTACATATCTTACTCTGCTACTTAATTTATCATACTTAACTAAATACTTTAGAAAACATAGAAGCTATAGAAGAGTGTGTAAATAAAACAGTATTTAATTCATCAGGGTTACAGATTCATGTAAACATGTTTCAGTCATACTGGCCTTCATCTCAGCTGAAACATGTTTTTATGAATCTAAAGCCCTGATGAATTAAATTATCTTTATTTATACCCCTCTGATGGACTCAGTTTCTAAGATCCCCACACTGAAGAGCTTCAGAAGGACTCATTCTTTTTTTTTTTTTTAGCAATTTTTAAAACATTTTCAACATCCATGCCTCTGCTTTTTTCACCTTTATAATACACTTGATCTTTTTGTATTTCACTCACATTTAATGCTCTTTTGTGTTACTCTTTTTCTGTACTGTAATGTTGGAGCAACCTGGCACCAGAATTATCTTCAGGATTATTAGAAGATTTATCTTATCTTATATTCTGTCAGGTCTAGTTCTACATTCTTTGATCAGATCACTTCTGATTTAAGTCGAAGCCTTTTGAATTTTGCACTCCTTCGTGTCGGCATGTGCTGAGTAAGGCTGCTTGTGTTACAAACTCTCAGAAACAACTGTGGAAACAGGCTAAGACGTATTCTTTTAAACATCTCAAAGTCCTAAAAGTTAGTAAAAAAAAAAAAAACTCAAAATCAAACAAAATTTCAAGCATATAAAACAAAACCAAAGATGTTTAAACCTTAAGTAATCCAAACTACATTTAGACTGTATAGTTACACTTAACTTTCATATGTAAAAGCTCAAGTTTAAAAGCCTGTTAAAGGATCATTCTGCTAAATTTGACTATTTCTGCCTCCATATTAGAAATGAAATCAAATGTAGAAACAAAATCTCTCATCTCATCACACAGGAAGATAAAAACAGAATAATTACTTTGGAAGGGAAATGATAACAATTGAGATTATTTACAACACTGTCACATCACACGTTGCCATCCTGTTTCAACCTTTACTTTGAGTTATTACTGTTATTAAGTTATTTGTGCATCTATGTTCAATTTGGTTATTAGCATTATTTCAGATGCACTCACTTTCAGTTCTCAGTCAGGAATAATGGCTGACAAGGTGTTCATTATCAGGGAATAATGGACAACATGGAGTGCATCAACACCTGACAATGAACAGGGCGTCATCCTGCTTATACCATGCTCACTTGTTTGAGAAAAAACATTCCTTTATTTATGCTTTCATGCACTTTGCAGTCACAACATGGCCTCCCTGCAGTCAGCAGGAATGCAGAACTCTGTGGGGCTGAGTTATGATGTAGGTCAGATAATCTGGACAAAACAGTTGATCAACAAACTGTCTGCATACACGAACAAACACAAGCAAATCAAACAGTGCATGACATATCATTTTTTTGAAAGTTTCAAAGTGCACATGGTGGTCTGCATTTTCACTTTACTTTACAGACAGTAGGTCAAAAAAAGGATATCCCAGGAGGAGTTTCCCCTTCTGGTTGCATTATTCAAAAGACATGTTGGAACGAGGAATGTTTCAATCAGACGGAGTCCTCGTTTGTTGGATTATCTCATCAGTTATTCTGGGACTAAAACCAAATCGACCACATCTACCGACATTCTCGGAGTGACACCAAACATTTCTCTGACATGTCACGCTGCTCCACAGCCCTCCAACATCCCTCACTGTGCACTGCCCAAGCTGCCCGGCTCATGTCTCACGGCCATAAGGAACCGATTACTGTTATTACATGCTGTAAACCATATCCGTGGATGTACGGACAGAATGGCGTGCGCGGAAGTGGCAGCGCAGTATTAAGACCGTGATGCATGTAGTGAATAGTGACGTCCATCAGGAGCCTTGCTGTATTTAATCTGCCTGGCTGCTCTGCTGACAGCGGTCCACGCCCTGTGAATGTGCAGCCGTGTGCATCCATGACAGAGTCAGACTGTCATCGACAAATTGAGAGCGGGATTCGATAATACACGTACAAGAGAGGAAAAGTGCAGGTTACATGGAACAAGCTGCTCGCAGCTGCAGGCAGACGAGGGGAATGTTCAAAGGTCCATACTTTCACAACTTCAAACTTTAAGAAGTGGATTAAAACGGGAAAAATGCATAAAATCGGGAGGGCTAGTAGAGCTAAGTCCTCACTTTCTTATGCAATAAAGATGAGAAACAGATTGTTTTAAATTTTGGTGAAACCTAGAGTAGCAACTGAACTTAATAGTGACAAGAGTAAACACACAATATCTCTAAATGGGCTTATTTTTCACAGCTCAGGCACTGTAACATACCTAACACCCTCTTCCATTCACTTCTGTGGTGTAAATGATTGACAGGTGTCATGACACGCCCCCTCTATATGCTGATCATTTGGGCTCACTTCATTCAGCATTCACTATTGGCCAATAGCACAACAGCATCATTGACCGCAGAGATGATATCAAAATAACTTAGCATCTCTAAGCATATTTTGCTTTCATGTCTTTTGCTCATTGTGACCTAAACAGCAGCATCAGGTAAACAATAAAAAAAGCAATGCATTGGTAGTGTTATTGATTGAAATGTCCTGGAAAACCTTAAAATATATATATTCAGATTCATCTATGCATTTATCAAAAGGGCTTGTACTAAAGACCACAGGACCAATGAGCTCATTAGCAGTAATGAGTCGTCAATGTGTTTGTGTTCTCACATTCGGTGCTATTAGCTGCTGTTAACACCAATCAATATCAGAAATGAGTCTCTCCTTAGCCCTCTGTGAAAGGAAGTCACATCACACTCTGCTAACTGATTCATTGGTAATTTACATGAACATATTTCAAATTTGGATTTAACCATGTTTGTGAAATGTTTTAGATGCTGACTATGACAAACATCAGGCCTCATTTATCATAGTAAGGAAGCTAACATGGATGTGGTTTTCCAGTGGAGTCAGCCTGTGTTTTCTTTTATGATTGAACCCCAAGAGAGGAGTTGGAACAACCAAAGGTTTAAATAAAAGAGACTGGTTAGGTACAGATAATGGGATTTTTTATGGGAATTAATGTGTAAAAAAAAATGATAGCCTGCACTGACAATAAAAACAGTGTGAAGCAGATCAAAGAGAAGCTGAGATTTATTCTCTGCAGCTTGAATTTGTGGTCAACAGTTTCCCAGATTTGACGACTTCAGAGTATTATGTTATTAATTCTCTCTGCTGTCTGTCAAACTGTACAGCACATCCATGACCTTCAGATGAACAGGAGCTCTAATTAGCTCAATAGTCTTTTCAAATTTCATACAGTCATAACAGACATGAAACCGCAGCGTGAGTTTACCACATCCTGCAGATGTTCGGAGCCAGTTTCTGTCTTTGTCACAGAGTGCACGCAGGAAGTGAGCTTCTTACTTCAGCCCAGGAAACCTAATACAAGCCAGAGTGTTATTATCCCCGCTAACACGCAATGTGCCACTGTGTGGTGTTATCCCAGCTCCCACCCCCACCTTAAAATTTTCCCCCTGTTTAATTCTCCAACACCACACAGGGCTCAAATGCTGCAGTAATCCAGGCAGAGTTGAAGCTGCTGGTTTGTTTTCAGATCATTTGTGGATTTATGAGGCCAATTCTTGGAAATGTATCCAGTGAGGTTTCTAATAGGTTTTCTATTTTCTCTCTTTCCTCTATTTTTAATCTGTCACTAGCATGTCGTTTCTTCTTCAACAAATGATACAATTTGCAATTGAAGGGCAATTCTGACTCGATTTTAAGTCGAGACAAATTTCAGCCCACTCGTGCGTCGTTTGATGTGCAGTGAAAACAGGTAGCGTGACACAACGCAAAAGGTGGATTTAAACACGAGTCTCTCCTCTGACAAGGCAAATGGCCAATCATAGTTCAGGGCTTTAGGGGTGGCCAATCAGATATCTAGGTTGGCCCTGGTCACCCCTTGGTTCCGCCCCTGTGTATCATATCTTTTCTCTTATTCAAGACCCCTGTGGAGTACGAGCACTAGTGTTTGCTCTCTTTCTACTTTTATATTCTTCTTTTATGTTCTTTGTTTTTGCACCAGAAACCCAAAAGACACATTCCTTGAAACATATTTGACCTGATCTGATTTTTGGAGCCAGGCTGAAACTAAAAAAGATCTTCCCAAACAAGTTCCCTCCTGCCATCATGTTTTATGATAATATGCTGAATGCAATACGCTGCACATAATGTCTTCACTAACAGATGCCCAACATGATGACACAAAAGATGTAAAGCAAAGCTTTTCTTCTGCAAAAAGATAAAGGCAGGTCATATAGAGAATGATCTCCTGCAGAAGTCTGTTTTGAGTAATGCCCTCTGTTTTATTATTCATACATATTTTTTAATTTGCAGTTTC